GCTTTGGGCGCTCTAACTACTCGCGATCGGTCCCGTCCAGGTCCAGGGGAGGGGGTAGGGGGAGGGGTCAAGTTACCCCCTCCCCGCCCGCAAGCCGTCTCGCTCACTCCCACCCGCCCTCCCAACACATACGTAGCACCCGAGTCTGGCCCGAGCCTTAGCATATTCAGCAGTCGTCTTGGATGGCCAGCTACTGGGGTCCAATCCGCCGCCGCCGCCGCCGCCGCGCCGCCGCCGCCGCCGCCGCCGCCGCCGCCGCCCGCCGCCGCCCGCCGCCGCGCCGCCGCCGCGCCGCCGCCGCCGCCTGTCGCCGCGCCGCGCCGCCGCCGCCCTCAGCCGCCGCCGCGCCGCGCCGCCGCCGCCGCCCCCCCCGCGCCGCCGCAGCCGCAGCCGCCGCCGCCGCCGCAGCCGCAGCCGCCGCCACCGCCGCCGCAGCCGCCGCAGCCGCCGCCGCCGCCAAGTGTACCCTGTATTGTGTTTTGACAGGGATGGTGTGGGGGGGGGGGCGCGCATCGGGTTGGCTGCGCATGTTCCGAATTTGGAGGCAGAGTGTGTTTTGCATTGTTTTTGTATAAGGGATGATGGGGGGGGGGTCGGCATGGACCCTGGTTGGCCCCCAGTCGCCTGGGGGAGGGTGTGTTTATTAATAGGAACAGTGACCAACCCTTCTCCGAAGGTGAAGAAGGGGGTTGTAAGAGGAGCCGTCCTAGACCACCTACGCCCAGAGGTCTGGTGGGATTAGTTCCAACATCGCGCTCTCGCGCTGCACTTCCGCACAATTTAGTCAGGATTCGCGCTCTCGCGCTGGACTTTCTCGCCATTCATTCAGACGCCGCGCTCTCGACATTCAGGACTCACACTCTCGCTTTGCTGTTTTTCACGGTTTACTCAGGAATCGCGATGTCGCCTGAGATTGTAGTGACCTCCGGCCAGTGCCGCCGATCCGGGTCTGATTGGGCCCTCTTGGGTTTTCGTCACGCAGGCCAGGTTAGGGCCATTTTGCCCGCTCGGAGGCAACTTGGAGGCCGTCTTGTAGCCGATGGGGCCTAATGGAAACGGAAATTCGGGAGCCCTTCGTGTGGCCGGCGGGCTGGGCCGAAGCTCCAGGGGGGTCTTTAGACAAGAGCAACAAATTCCCAGACATCTAGCACTTCGTGCACCCCTGTGGCAAGCCAGCATGGAGCAGTGGATCGAGTGGCCTTCAGCACATCCCGCCACCGTGCTTGGGTTATGGGTGAGTGGCCTCTTTGATAGTGTATGGGTTTCTCTGGATGCCTCTGGGTAGTCTCTTGGAGGCAGACTTTCAGCCTCTTGGGGCCACGGGTCGTTTGGGGGCCTCTGGGGGCTTCTTTTGGGCCTCTTGGAAGTCTCTTCGGGGCTTGCTGGCGATCTTGGGGATCCCCGTGGGGCGGAGGGCTCAAGACCGCTGCTCGAGTTCCCCATCTTAGGGTCCTCTGAGGCCGTCTGGGGCGCCTCTGGTGCTGTCTGGGGTTCTGCTGTCTTTGGGCCGTTTTGGGGGCCTCTTGCGGCGATCTTGGGGGCTTCCTGGGCCGTCTCCTGCGCTGTGAAAGCCCAAGAGGCGAACATGTTGAAATTACCCTGGCGAAGAACCCAACCCTTTCTACACGCGTGCACGCGCGAAACTTATCAGAAGGACCCTTCAATGCACGAGAACTCGTTAGGAAGGGGCCCGCGGTGTTCCTGGAAACTTCGCCAGATGACGTCGGACCAGGAGCGGCACGCGCTCACGCGAGTCAAATCACACAAGGGAAATTAATCATGCATGCGTCGCGGCGCACGAGGTCGGGGGCGGAGGACGCAGGAGGAGGGATAATTTGAGGAACGACTACTGGCTCCAGCGCAGCGCGCGGAAGTCCAGGCAGGGGGCGGCGCGATTGCGCCGCGAGTTCATGATTCCTTGGTTGGTTCTTGCTCCGCAGCTGAGAAACCTATCGAAGCCCAGCTTCGCGAAACATGGGGCTTTCGGTGGGTCTCCCTTTGGGGCCGCGAAACGTGTGAGAGGCGTGCCAGGAAAGGACCCGAGTCACCATGCGGACGCAGCCACTGGGGCCGTCGGTGGTGCTCCTTATGGGGCCACGAAACGTGTGAGGGGCGTGCCAGAGGGGATCTGAGTCGCCACGCGGACGCCACGAAACGTATGAGGAGTGTGCCAGGAGGGACCCGAGTCACCACGCGGACGCAGCCAGTGGGGCCTTTGGCGGAGCCCCCTTATGGGGTCACAACACGTGTGAGGGGTGTACCAGAAGGGACTCGAGTCACCATGCGGACGCAGCCACTGTGGCCTTTGGTGGAATTCCTTATGGGGTCACAACACGTGTGAGGGGTGTGCCAGAAGGGACCCGAGTCACCATACGGTCGCAGTCTTTCTGGCCTTCAGTGGAGATCTTTATGGGGTCACGAAACGTGTGAAGGGCGCGTCGAAATCATGATGATAATGGCGATGGCAGTGATCATGGTGGTGTTTGCGGTGGGAAGTGCGAATGGGAGAATGAGGAGGAAGCGAAGGGAAGAGTGAGAAGGAGAATGTGAGGAGGGAGGAGGGGGAGGAGGAGGGAAGAAGGAGGAGACGCGCGGCGCCGCGATTTCAAAACGAGTACCAAACACACAGGAGGGTTGGGAATTCATTTGTTCCTCAATGCCACGTGCGTTTCGTGCGCCACGTGCGAGTTCGTGCACTATCCACAGGGATTGCCACATTGGGACGCACATGTGGAAAACGCTACCGCGTGCCAACGGGCGCGAGGGGGGGACCGCGCGTCGGCGATGAAAGCCGGGCTCACGCGCGCCTCAGTCACGCCATAGTCCCCCTATGCCGAGACAGCTCAAACATGCGAAGGGCGACGCGTTCAGAAACGATAGACATGCGCGCGCGGCGCCTGGGCGCGGGGGCTCTCTGCGCCCCCTCTCGCGGCCTCCGTGCGGCCGCCCATCGCGGTCGGCTCGCGAACCGCTCGTGGCTTGCTCGCTGTTTGGCCCGTGCCCAGCCTGCTCGCGGTCATGTCGTGGCCCACCCACACGTGTCCCGCGCGTAGCCCGTTTGCGACCTTCTCGCGACGGGGCTGCACGAAGACATTTTCACAACGATAACAATCGGAACTGCTTGGGAGATTGATAGAAAATCTTGCCAGCAAAACTCAACGTCAGATGGTGCCTGTATTTCGTCGGCAGCCAGGGGGGTGCTTCGATGTTGATTGATAGTCCCCTTGAGTTCGTCTGTCCGCGATTTGCCTGCCCTGCTCATTTCCTTCAACGGGTGATGATCCAACCGTGCGCTGAAGGCCTCTTGGGGCTCTTCTCGGGTTCGTTCTGCCAATTTGGATCGTGAGTGACACTCGCACTTTCTGGCGTCATTGTCTCTCGGTCAAGGATACCCTTCTAGAAGTATTGCAACAGTCTTGTATCCCACTCCCCCTCACGTGGCTGGGACGGATTGCACAGCCACCTGTAGGGACAGGTTTGGTCAAGCTCTAGCCAGCTACCCTACAGGCACGGTTTCCCGTGCAGTCAGGCAATCTTTCTCGGAGGTGGAAAGGAGAAGGCTGACAGCCAACGATCTCACACGCGTATTCACCCCCAGCAAGCGAGGTCGACGGATAGAGCCATGGTGCAGTCACTTCACCTTCACCTACAGCTCTCCGTCACCTCACCTCGCACCAGTGTTTGTTGTTGTGACGTTTGGCACAGTCACCTGAAAGGCCTGGTGCTACATGCGCCGTCACCCTTGAGCAGGCAGACGGTGAGCGGGCGCGTCCTTCAGTTGTTCCACCACTATGGTGGCCCCCGGGGGACAGGGAGGAGGAGCAGGAGGAGTTGAGATTTGATAGCTTGTAGACTACGGTCAGCACTTTCGCAATCAGCCTTACATTCAACGGCCAGCGTCAGGCCATTCGCCCCAATGTCAATAGCCACCCCATCAGCTAGCTTGCACAGTATTGTTTATCGCTTGTCCAGCCGCACCCAGTACTAGAGGATGGATCGGCTGGGTAGGTTAATGGATGTCAAGGTGTGGATCGGGCATTTCACTTACGCCGTTCAGCTCATATCCAACTTTTAACACAGGCAGCAACAGCTTTACTCACCCCAGCCTTGCTTCCTCGAGGTACACATTGGTGTCCTTCGCAGGGTCGAACAAACCACACACCCATTATCTTCTCCTCCACCACTTCCCTCTCATCGCTTGTGCCTCTCACTTCACTTGAAGCTGTGGACAGCCTGGCTATTCATACAGCCTGCACTCCCAGCCGTAATCAACATTAGTTTCACATGCGCCGTGCAGACAATCCCCCAGCCTGGCAGCAGAAGCGCCCACACCATATGAGTACGTTGTGCGGTTCCATTCTGTGCGCTGTGCTCCCTGCACAGTCAGATGACTTGTGGCCATCCTGGCCCGTCGGCAAGGGTCATTCCGACATCAGCACTACGAACCTCAAGAGTCAGTTTTCCCGCCTGTGTAAGCATCTATAACCCAGCAACACCAGCGAAAATACATCTCTTTGGCTGATGGGGTGACGAGGCTATCGTCGGTCCCTTGTGTCCTCTCTCAATGTAGGTTCGCACCGTTTCGACGCGGCGGCAGTCCTGGCCCAGGCGTTCAAGGTTGAACGCCGCCAGTGTCGTAGGATCGGCCGACATTGAGCGATCCGCGCTATCGGACAGCCGGATCGTAATAGGTTGAGCGATCCCGACGGCGTAACGAATTTGCCACACCATCTCCGCCTCCGTCCCCTTGCGCATTTTCCCCATTATCCTTTCCTTTCTCACATTTCTATCCCCCCCCGCCTCCCCCATCCCCTATCCTCCCTTTTCCTTCAGGGTTGTTCAGAGTTGTTCATTGGTGTTGGGTCGCGTGCTCTTCTGCTCCGCGCGCCAAAATTCGTCGAGCCGAGATCCACGTTCACACGAGGAGGGAGGGAGAAGACATCGGGGGGAGGAAGAAGACACCAGAGCCCCCCCCCGTCCCAGGCCTGCCGCCGCAGGAGATGTCGCACGTCGCGCCCGTCTGCTTCCCCTCGCCGCCCAGAGATGTCGCTTCAGGGATGCCGCCCTGGAGCGCCCCCTTGATCCTGCCGGGGGGCCAGTGCCTCAGCGGCCCAGGGATGGGGGAGCATGGGCGGGGACGGAGCTGGGGAGGGCTCGGGGGCAATTTTGGGGAGGCTGGGCTCAGCGGGCACGCATCGACCCCCAACCGCCGATCTATCGCCGATAGCGGCCTGATAGCCCACCCCGCCCAGGAACGCGCGGTTTCGCTGTCGGGGGCGTATCGCAGATCTATCGGCGAATTATCGCTGATTCCAGGTCAATGTTTCTATCCCTGAGCTGCTCCCCCTCCCCCGCGTCGTTGCCCCTTAGGAAGGGGGTAGAGAGGGTGTGGCTGCATAGGTCACCCGCGAGGGCGCGAAGATACCGTGCTTCGCGGGCGCGACGCGCGAAGTGAGGCGACTTGGGACAGGGTGAGAGTTGGGGGCAGTAGAGGGGCGAATAGCGGCAATTCAAGGAAACATTTTTCCACCATTGGGTTCGCCTGTCCAAAGGTCACCAAGGGCGATTGAAAAGTTCATGCCCCCACCTACCGCCGTGGGGGTATACATGATTCATCGCCCTGGAGCATGCTTTCCCGATGGCGGAAAGAACATGTTGCACAGTTATTCCCAGACGGTGCTTGCATTGAGGGCAAGTTTCTTTTGTAATTCGGCAGACTTTCGTGGTTATCGGCTGCGCCTCGCCGTGAGCGCCTTCTGGGTGCCTGTGCGTTAGCTGGGATCTCTTGGTTTTCGCCCAGTGTTTGGTCTTTGGCGCCTCTTGGACGCCCCGTGCGTTGTCTATCGTGGCGCGGGCGATCCGATTGCTTCCAACTCCGTGCCGATGCGTCCCGACTCGGTGCCTGTTCCGATCCGACCCGATCTATCGGTTCGATGTTGGCCTGTCCTTCCCTCCGGTCATACCTCTCCCGCGGCTTCCCCCCTCCCCGGCCGATTTCTCACAGGCCCCCTCGCCCCCCCCAGAAGGCGTGTTCGTCTCGGCGGCTGCGACAGGGGCGGATCGTCCATTGGGGAGCATTCTGTGTATCCAGTGGCTCCATTCGCCCATATCTTCGACGAGGCTCCTTGGCGAGTGCGCGAAATGCCTGCCCAGGGGGAGCCGCCCCTGTTGCAGCCGCCGGTCGGTGCGCGCACGCCTCCGCAGGCATGGGCTGGCTCGTACCGAGGAGGAGGGCCCCGAGATCGTCCTCTTCCTCCTCATTGTTGTCCTCTCCTCCTCCTCCTCCTCCTCCTCATCCTCCTCCTCCTCCTCCTCCTCCTCCTTCTCCTCCTCCTCCTCCTCCTCCTCCTCCTCCCTCTTCCTCCCCCTCTTCCCCAAGGTCAGCATGTGCCGGCGTGGGCCGTCGCGCCGCCCGTGCCGAGCCCACACGCCGCGGGGTTGGCGCGCGGCATGCCGCCGCAGCAGGCGGCGTTACACCTTGGGAAGAGGGGGAGGCGAAGACCGCACGTGGTGGGGCGGGGGTCTTTGGCGTTTCGGTTTCGCGAGCAGATCAAGTTTGGTCTCAACCTTGTGTTCTCAAGCTGCTGGAAACTCGCGTTCGGGGAAGGTCGCATCCCCATCCTCCTTCACCTGCTCCGCGCCCTCGTTCTTCTCCCACTTTGAAACCTTCGTCTTTCTCCGCGCTCCCCCCCTCATCGTCCTCCTCGTCGACCTGGTCGCGGCTGGTCGGCGCGCCCGGGGCCAGCGAGTTGAGGGCCAGGGCGGGGATTATTGGATGCGACCCACGTCCATTCGATCGATCCGATTCGGGAAATATTCAGGGCGCGCACAAAGGGGTGGCGCCACGGGGGTGGCCTTCTATAAGAAGGTGAGGGGCTTCTTCGAAGGCAGGGAGCCTTCGTCGAAGGCCCCAGGTCTCCTACGAAGGCTCCTGAGGAGGCTTCTGCCCCTGCCTTCTACGAACCTCCTCGGCCTTCTCGGAAGGCCACCCCTCTCGCGCCACCCTCCTGTGCGCATCGCGAACAGAAGGAGAGGGGGCGGGGGCCTTGAGGATTCAGGTTTTCGGGCAGCTCCGTAGGCTTCCAGATGACTTCTCGCCCAGGGAGCGCTCTCTGGCAGCCGCGGGCTCGCCGCGAGTGCTCCCAGGGTGCCCTGATTCGTCCAGGGCGGCTGCTGGAGAGGCCGCCAGGGGGCTGAGTCAGGCAGGGCCTCTGGGGACCGTGCGAACCTCGGCGGGGGAAGCGGCGACGGCGAGGTGGGAGGCGGGGGGGGGGGGAGGTGCGGGAGAGGCGCTGAGGAGAGGACCCGCGGGGGAGGGAGGAGGGTCTGGACGGAAGCCAGCCGGGTCGAGCCTCGGAAGGGGGGATGTAGAATCGGAGTCGTTCGGGTCTCGCTATACCTTCTGTCGCGCACTCTTCTGCCGATCTCGGCGTCGAGGTGCATCTCTCTCATTATCGTTTGCCTCAGCAATTTGTTCGCAAACTCCTACATTCTCGTATGAGTCCTCTTCTGCTGATCAATCAAACCAGTTGCACCATTCTGGGCAGATTTCGCTGGGCAGCGGAAAAAGGCGCTCGAGCAGCGTGGGAATGCAACCACAATGTGTCTCCGCATAGTCCTCTTCGAACTCTCGGGTCTTACATACAGGCTTGCGCCATTCCGACGACCCCGAACGTATCGCTTCCGCCGCGCATGGGAGAATTCCAGACAGGGATGTGTAAGGGAAAGGCGAGGACGAGGGTGATAAGGAGGACGAGACGGAAGGTGAACGGAAGGGGGCCTCGGAGGGGGACTTCAGAGAGTGAGGGAGGGGGTGCATATGAAACGGGGGGAAGAGTGAACGCGAGGGTAGTGAGTCCAGTGATGCCAGCTGTGGTTCGGCGTTTTCGCGTGATTGTGGTTCACTGTTTGGTCAATGGCAGGGGAAAAGTGATTAGGAGTCACGGCTGGCCCCAGAAGGCGAGTCGAGCACGAAGATCTGCACATCGAGAGGTTTCGTGCGCCGAGATGGTTTTGGGGATTATTGGGGCCTTCAGGTTTACCATGGACCCTCTTTGGCCCCAGAACTTCCTTTGGACCTCGCCTGGGAATCCAGGGCTCTTCATTATAGGATTGTATGATGCCATCTTGTGGTCCCACTGGGCTCGTCGGGCGCATCCTGGATGCTTCTGGCTCCTCGGCTCCACTTGGGGCCCTTTCAGGCCCCGGCCCCTTCCTGGGTAACCCGGAGTTGCAGACGGCGCAGGTGCAGCCCAGAGGAGCCTTGGAATCTTGCCTCAGCCGCCCCCCTTGGCCCTCTCCAGTCATGTCTCAGGAGACGAGGATGCTCGCTGCCCCTCATGGATTGTGCGCTTGCGTTCGAAATCTATGGAGTATAATTCATGTCCCGCTCGTTGCTCATTACGAAGATGCGGCATACCCTCAGCGTCACCGCATAATCCCTCAGAGTCACGGCTTAGGCGTGTAGACCAATATTGAGATTCCTTGCAGGGTGCGATGGCGACGCTCCCCCTCATGCCTCAGCCCCCCCCCCGCCCGCACACACTTTGTGCAGTGCTCCCCCTCCATGCCGGCACGCTCCTTCTACGCTTCGTGGCCCCATGGGTGTTTTGACGAGGGTCCCAGTGGGACAGATCGCCTGGCCCCGACCCTGGCCCGCCCACCTTGGCACACCCCTCACACGTTTCGTGACACCATACGGAACTCCACAGACATTTTCGGCTGGACATCGCATGGCGGCCACATGGGGCATATGGGGCTCCGCCGAAGGCCTCGGTGGCAGGGTTCGCGTGTCGCCGCGCCCATGTCGGCACACCCCTGCTCCACCGAAGGCCCCAGTGGCGGTGTTCGTATGTTGCCGCCCATTTCGTCACACCCCTCACGCGTTCTGTGGCTCCATAGGGAGCTAGATCGCTTGTTCACTTCTCCTTCCTGATCCCCTGCTTTTTTTATCCCCATCCTTCTCACTCCCCTCGTCCTTATCTACGTCTCAGTTATCTTGCTCGCCCCCTTCTTATCATCTACTTTGCACTATCGGCAGCCGTGTATGGCTTGGCCCTTCGCCAGGATAATGCTTGACGCTTCGCGTATCCCCACCAGCCGTCCGTCTTGGCCTCGCTTACGGTTGCGGTTCGGCTGGAGCTTGGCGCCGCAAGGGCGACTTCTCCTCCCGGTTCCTTTGCCACCTCGTTGCCGTGCCTTTTGCTTCCCCACCAGCCGGGCTGACTGGGCCGGTCACCAGCAGACGCTGAAATGCGTCTCAGTGAGGGGCATTTTGTCCCTGGCATGTGCATGTGCCGCTGCGAGTGTTGTCCGCTGGAGTCCGCGGCAATCTCGCGCCAATAAATGACATACCGCGCCCCGGACGTTGTGCTCGCTCCCTGTCTCTCGCCTCGGAGCCGCGGACCGAAAAAGTATCCCCACCAGCCCATCCAGCAATGATGCCTAGGCGAGTTGCACTGGTCAGGGGAGCGTGGGAGCAATATGTGGAACGAAGAGTGGGGGCAGCCGTCAAACATAAGATCGAGATCGGCCTGAGCCTGAGACCAGCACCTTATTGAGGCAATGTTGGGGTCATTTTGGAGGCCGTCGGAGGAGCTCTTTGGGGGCCTCTCGGTCTTGGGGCCCTCCTGGGGGTCTGTTGGAGCCCTCTTGGATCTTGGATGCCGCGTGGGCCCTCTTAGGGCCATCTTGAAAACAATCGGGCAATAATGGAAGCTGCGTCAATTACCCCCCCCCCTCGTCGGGGCCCGACAATTTGCCTTTGGGGGCCCTCTTGGGGCGCTCTTGGGTCCGTTTTGGGCCCATCGTGGGGTCTTCGCGGCCATTGAGGGCCATCTTGGAGCCATCTGGAGGCCTCACTAGCCCGTCGGACGCGAAAAGGCGAGAAGGCAACACATCAGGAAACACCGGTTTTGATTGTTTTTTATTTCAATCATGGTGGACTGTCTTGAACGATCTTAGAAGCCATCTTGGGCTCTGTGAGGCCCTCTTGGGGCCATCTTGGACGCTCCAGTGCCTCGCCCCCCCACCCCCGCCTCCAGACCCAGGGAGAAGGGGTTCAGGGAGGCGGGACCCCCCCCCCGAAGGGGAAGAAGAGGTGTTAGCAGAACAAGCTCTACAAACCTCTCACGCCCCCCAGAGGGCTGATGGGATTCGACGGCCCCGGGGACTGGCACGCACCCCCCCCCCCCCTCGAGACCGAACGCAAACTCCGTCCGGCGAGAGGCGGCAGGGAAGCAAGCGAATCTATGCATTACACACACACACACACACACACACACACACACACACACACACACACACACACACACGCACACGCACACGCACACGCACACGCACACGCACACACACACACGCACACACACGCACACGCACGCACGCACGCACGCACGCACGCACGCACGCACGCACGCACGCACGCACGCACGCACGCACACGCACACACACACACACACACACACACACACACACACACACCTATAGCGCCATCATCTCCTTGCCCTTCTCCAGGCCTCCTCCCTGTAGGTGTGAATGTGTGCTGTTCTGCCCTCCCCATAGCCGGACCAGTGCGGAGAATCTTGCGCTTCGAGTCCTTCAACGTGCCCCCTGCCAAAACTTTCATTACTGCCCTGGTTTGCCGACCAGCCTGGGGGGTCGACAGGGACTCCAGGCCGCGACCAGCGGCGGATCCTCCGCGCGCTCCCCCGGGCCCCAGAGAGCGCAGCGTGCGGAACGCGCGGCCGCAGGGTGCCTGGGCGCCAGTGGTGCCCCCGCCAGCGGTGGCCGCGCCCGCGGAGGCCAGGCCGCCTGCCGCCAGGGGGGGCGGCTCGGGGGCGTCTGCGATGGGGGGGAGGTGATGAGCGGGGGGGGCCGGAGAGCACGGCGGGCACCCGAAAGCAGAGCTCAAGCAGGGAGGGAGGGAGGGAGGGAGGGGCACGGTCGACCACAACCACATACCAGGCAGGCGGTGGGGACACGGTCGACCAGGGGGGACCACCCGTATGCAACCCCATATCCTTCCTCCCCCCTCCCTCCTTCACCAGCCGCCGCCCCGGTCCGAGGTGTTTGGAACTGCTCCAGGAGCAGCGTACATCGCGCGGGGCGGCTGCCATGCGCGCCGGCCGCTTCGCATCGCCCTGCCCAGGCGAGCGGCCGGCCAGCCGCGCCCCACGAGCCTCTTCCGGCCGGCGCCATGGCGACCGGCCGAGACTGGGCCTGCGCGCCGCTGTGCGCAGGCTCGGCTTCGCGGCCCCGGTTGACCGCCGGCCGCTCATGAGCGACGTGGCCACTCTCGCTCGAGCGGCTGCTCGTACGGATCGCGATCCGCGGCCTCCGGATGCGGCTCGCGGAGCTCCTGTACCCATGCGGACAGTGCAGGGCGCTGAGGCGAAGGAGGACACTTGGTGCTGGCTTCCAGAGGCGCTGCCGCCCCCAGCTTCCACCGCGCCGGTATGGTGGCCTCCGCGGTCGCCTGCTGCATCGGAGGCTCCGTCCAGGTTGCTACGTGGTGGAGTTCCTGGTGCTCTACATGCAGGTAGTCCGGATGACACTTTGCCTCGGGTGGCGCCCATGCTGACGGAGATCAACGCCGTGGCTGCTGCGGTAGCCGGCCGGGCGCCATGTGCTCCGCCGTTTTTCTCGCCGCGTGCCTCGGCCTTACAGTGGCTGATCTGTGTGCCGCCGCCGCCGCCGCCTGCACATGACGTTTGCCAGCCTGGACCGCCAGCTGCTTCGGGCGCCCGTGATCGTGATCTACGCCATGCCGCACGGTTCCCTGCAAGTGTTGTTGCCACAGAGTCGCTGGCGGCTGCCTCCTCGTCCGACCTGCTCCCGGACGCGCCCATGCCGAAGGAGACTGCGGCTGCCGCTGCTGGCGCAGCTGTGGCCATGGCCGCGGCCTTGGACCGTGGCGCTCCTGATCCTGTGCATGATGACGCCGATGTTCGTGCCCGAGACCGTGATGCCGCGGCTGGTGCTCTGGCCGATGGGCGGGATGGCCGCACAGCGGAGGTGGGCAATCCCCTCCCCCCCAGCGTCCCCTTTCGGGGCCCAGGGGAGGCGGCGAGGCAGCCTACGGGCCCCACCCCGCTTCCAGCTTCAAGTGCGGAGGTGGACAGGCCCCTCCCCCCCAGCATCCCCTCTCGGGGCCAGGGGGAGGTGGCGGGGACCAGCGAGGCGTCCACCGAGCTGCGCCAAGGTGAGGCTACCGACGCCATGTGTCCCCTGGCCGCGCTTCCGGTTGCGCTTTCTGCTGCTGCTCGTGTTCCTCCACATGGTGTTGCGCGTGTGCCGCTGCCGAAGGGATGGAAATGGGCGCGCCCAGGGAATATGTTGGATCCTTATGTTGACAGATCTTTGGGTTATTGTCGGATCACGTGAACGAGCTTGTGAATGATTCCATATTCCGCATGCACGTGCGCAGGTGGGCGCGGCCAGGGCCGTTGCCCGATCCGCCACCCGCTAAGCAGTCACCAGTCGATATTGACGAGATTCTTGCCCAGCGCATCGTTGCGAGCACCTTCCCTCGAAGATGAAGCACCATCTCGTCGTCATGGGGGATCCTTAGGAGGAGTTCGGGTGGAGTGGGGCGATCAGCGGCACGGCGTCCTAGTTACCTGATGCCTGATTGCAGGTTTTGGTCAGGCGTCGTCGTCAGCCCTGGCCCGCTAGCCTCTCTCTCACGCCATCTGTCGTCGTCGTCGCGCCCGCGGCCTGGCAGATGTCCTTCTGTCTGCCTGGCACGTGAGAGTTCGCTGTGCGTTGGCACGGTTTGACATTCGATCCTGAGAGCCTGAGGATGTAAGCTTGCGTCCCAGCCTCACTACTTCGCGCTCCTTCCCCCCCCACCTTCCGAGCGACCGAATGCCCCTCTACGGCCCAGCTTCTTGATTGGAGGACGGGAGAGACACGGGGAGTTTCAGTGGGAGGATCAGCGTGGGAACGGTGTTGGAATTCCTGGATACGTAGTCGTCACTCTTTGGCGACTGCGCGCAGAAGATGGCGGCTGCCAGTCAGATGCGTCCCAGCCTTGCCCCCGCTCGTTTTCTGCTGCTCCGAAATTGGAGGTTTAGGATACGTGTCCCAGTCTCACTCTCTCTATTTTCGGTTTTATCTACCATCATCCCTTCTGCGCCTGCATACCTGGAAGTGTGCAGCCAGTATTTTCAAGGGACACAGCGTTCCGGAGGTGATCGGCATGCGTCCCAGCCTCTTCCCTTCCGCACGTTGCTGCCATCCTTCCGAGGCTGGAGGTTTGAGATGTGCGTCCCAGTCCCGCTCTTCCTTTTCGGCTTTATGTTCATGTGGTTTCCCTCCCTTCCTCCCTTCCTTACCCCTCCCGAGTGGCCAAGAGCCACGACGCGGTCGCCGTTTCTTTGTTCGACCCAATGCCGGCCACTTGATTTGAGAGAGGAATGATTCGGGGGGCACGCTGACGGGATGGGAATGATTGGTGGGGACGAGGGTTGCGCTGCGGCGTTGGTGCAGGCACGGGCCGCAGGTCGAGCGTGCGAATATCGTGCACTCCCGCAGGCCCCTGCCTTGCGCCAGCCCACTAAGCTGGCTGTCGCCCCATCGCAGGCCATCTCACGAGCTCCCCTCTTTGATGTGTTTCCTCTTGCGTCCTCCCTCCTCCTGCGGCGCTGCGATGCGCCCTGAGCGCCTTCAGACGATGAAGGGGGGTGGCAGGACAGGACGGGGGCGGGGAGATTCACCACACCTTGGCGCCCGTGCTGCATGTGCGCACTGTTGCAGCAGCTTAGTGAGTGCCGCAGTGATCTGACAGTCTCCTCGGCGAATCAGAGCGCAATCCAATCCTCCTTCACGTCATCCTTCTCGTCCTCCTCCTCCTCCTCCTCCTCCTCCTCCTCTTCCTCGCCACCGTCACCAGCGTCATCATCATCATCATCATCATCAGCAGCATCGTCATCATCACTTTTATTTCTTACCCTCCTCTTCTATCACCCCTCTCAGTATCATCCCCCTTTCCAGTTTTCGAGATTATTGGTCGCGTGGGCTGCGGACTCCAGGGGCCTATGACATTTCATTGTTTCAACGCGCGTATAAATCCTTGCAACTTGTATCAGGTTCGAGTTTTCCATTTGCGTGCTGGAATTAAGGGGGGGGGTTCTGGATTTCTGGCCGTTTGGGCTGCGTGTTCCAGGGCATTTGGTGTATTCCAATGTGTTGGCGCTTGTTGCGGTGTTGCGAACATTTAGATTGGCTCGGATTGTGTTGCACGCCTTTTTTTCGTATAAGCGCTAACGACATGAAGGTTCTGGAGGGTCGAGGGCTTGCGTGATTCATGGTCGCCACGCTGCGGACCCCAGGGCTCCTGGACATTTCATTGAAACGTTGCCTCAATGGTCCAAATGACATTTCACATATTTTGGGGATTCTGTCGGGAAATAATTTGAAAACGCGAGGCGCTGCATGTATGCAGGTCACCTGAGCTGGCGACAGGCAATCACAATGTTGAAGGTATCGATCGTGATGTACCCTGCTGAAGATTGTGGTGCGGTGTGCCGCGCGGAAACGGGATATGTCATGCCGCGATGAATTGCGTTGTGCATGCTACCGTCGTGGATAAAATGGCCCTGGGCATCCGAATTCTGACCAATGTGCTCTGGTTCTGACGCCCGGGCTGCCTGTGCGCATGGTTGGCCCAGTGTTGGTTGCAGTCGAAACGCGTCGGACGCTCAATCCGCTCGAGCTCAAGATCCGATTCAGTTTCGAAATGGGACAAGACAACACGGGGCGCAGGGTGCATGGACGCTGCGTTGCACACAGCTGTTGCGGTTTACGCACGCGCTGTGGTGTACACGCGCGTTGTGGTGCACGCGAGCATTGTAGTGTACACAAGCGCTGTGGGGCAGATCGCCGCCTACATGCTGCTCGCGTTGTCGTCGTCGCCCGTCGCTCATCGCTCATCCCGTAGCGCGTCCCCTTGGCACGTCCCGCGGTGCGTCCCCATGGCACGTCCCATGGCACGTCGCTTGGCGCGTCCCTTGGGACGTTCCGCGGCGCGTCCTCCTAGGATGTCCCCTCTAGGGCAGCTACTACGAGTTCAGGCAGCTCGAGCTTACGGCCCAGATCAGATCGGTCAGGACTCGGATGCAAAGGAGGACTCGATACTGAACGCTATAGAGCACAATCGCGGCATGGCACATCGCAATTCAGCACGGCGCAGCAGGGCACAGATCTCGGCGGCACGGTACATCCAGATCGAGACACTCATCATTGCATTTGCCCGTCGCCCAATCAGGTGTCTTTGAAACGTTGCCATGTCTTACATTTCTATATTCCTTTCCGGGTTCGTGGGTCGATCATGTTTTTACGTGTCCAGGTCGCCCAGGCCGATGTCAAACATGAGCATTTGGGCAGGATGTCTCGAGCGAAACGCTTGCCCCCAGCACGTTCCGTAGCGCGTCCCCTTGGCACGTCCCGCGGTGCGTCCCCATGGCACGTCGCCTGGCGCGTCCCTTGGGACGTTCCGCGGCGCGTCCTCCTGGCATGTCCCCCTGTGAGTTAGCTCTGGAGAGGCTACTATGCGTTTACGCAGCTCGATTTTAAGATCAAGATCATTTCCGCCAGGACTTGGTTGCAAAGGAGGGCTCGATTCACAACGCTATGGAGCACAATCGCGACATGGCACATCGCAATTCAGCACGGCGCATCACAGCACAGCCTTCGGCACGGTACATCAAGATCGATAGATTCAGCATTGCAACTTGGCACGTTCCGTGGCGCGTCCCGTAGCGAGTCCCCTTGGCACGTCGCGCGGCGCGTCCCCTGGCAC